TTGTCTGTGATGCTATGGGGTCGGTTTACCCCCTCTGCCTGGATATATTGAAGAAAAAGCATGTGCTTGCTCTAAGTTGCTCAATGTAATCCTTGTAAATATTTTGGGTATGTAGTGTGCAGTAGTGAGGACTAGAAAATACAGTAGATAATATTTTAATTTCTTTTTTCTTCCTTAATACAATCCGTCCATCTTATCAGACATGGCAATGGTGTCATATTGAATAGCATACATGTACATTGTTGCTTTTTGTTTCTTCCTCTTATCTTCTTTCCATGATCAGTGTGGGTAGTTTAGATTTATGCAAAACATAATCTTTGGAAACTACCACATTTATCTTGAGGTCGTTTCTTGTATGAAAACCATTCATTCTCCCTTGACTCGTGTCTCCATCTTTTAGCTGTTTGCTTGTAATGTGATTTTTAATAGAGGGCCAAATACTTGGCAGCACTCTGTCTGAATTAAGCATCAAATGGATAAAACCAGTACCAAATATCTGTATATGAATATTTGTCCAAGGGTTAAAGGCTTTCGAGCCTCAGTGTGAATAGGGTTGGGTTGGGTTGGTTTTGCCCAATCTAAAACCAACTCAACCCATTTGATAATACAAACTGACTTAAACCAACCCTATTCCGGTTGGTTTGGTCAAGTCAGGTTGCAGCCCAAAGTGTAAAGAAATTGTTATAAGGCTAGGGTTGGGCATTTTGCTTTTCTCCATTGTGGAACTCCTCGATCTCCATGTGAAACTCCATCACAACGCTCAAACACCACCAGTATCACCACACCCTACATAAAACATATCACTTCCACCACTTCTTTCATCACTTTCCATCACCTCCAGTCTGTCGCACTTCCTCCTACTTCCCTTTCGAATAACTCACCTTTGGGAAGAAGAAAATTCATCTCTCTCTCTCAAGGCTAGAATTTGATATCTCTATATTTATATATCCATCTATTTTTTGGGTTCCAATCATAAAATTACTTTATTCTCAGATTGTTTACCCAGATTCATTTTGAATTTTGAAGTGAGTTTTTCTTGATTGATTGGTGGTGAATACTGAGAATTTTGATCAGAGAAGGAAAGGGAAAAGGGGAAAAAACCATGTCTCTTTATATTTTTGATTCTTCTTCTTCTTCTTCTTCAAATGTTTTTGATCGGATTGTGTATCGGTTTGTGAATCAAAACCTGCCATATGAACCATGTTTATTTTTGGCCTACTAGTTGACCCGACCCGCGAAGATGCCAAGATCAAACCAAACCAACCTGATATTTAAAGGAGATATAATAAGGGAAAAATCATATCTCAACTATTAAGTATGCACAATTCAAATCTCAGAGATTAATTGTCAAAATGCAAAAAATAGGTTTTTATTTTATTTTAATTTTAATAATAATATTATCAAATTAAGTTAATCTACCCACACCCACCCCAACCGCTCCCCATCCCACCGGTTGGCGTTTACCCGCTGTCGACATCCTTTCGACCTCCACCCTGTTGGCGACTTCTTTAGCGGTGAACTAGTTGTTGCTCAACAACAACTAAGTTTGTCTGACTAGGACTGAGCAGTGCTAGTATAATTTATAACTTTTTTTTTTAATCGAGAAATAGCTCTTGATGTAATTTATAGAGCATTTATCGAAGCAATAACTTGAATTCTTATCATTGAAATTTTGTTAATATGTAACCTGATCCAGTGGTCTGCAACCAAATCTCTTTCATCTGTGACATGACCTGAGTCAATGGTATGTGACCAAATCTTTTGAATTCGTGACATGTGACTTATGCACTTGACGTGTGACCTATGACCTGCTTCAATGGCCTGTGAACAAATTACTTGGATTTGTGATCAAATCTCTTGAATCCATAACCTGTGACATATACACTTTGACATGTGCCATATTACATGTGACATTGACTTGATCTAATGGCAGGTGAACAAATCTCTTCGATCTGTGATCTGATCCAATTGCTCGTGACCAAATCTTTTTTATATATGACTCGTGACCTATCCATTTTGACATATGACACGTACACTTTGATAGGTCACATATTCATGATATTTGGTCATAGAAATCCAATCGTCTGTGACCTACACACCACTATCATCACCACATGTGGACATTGATCCACCACAACCACCACTAACCCACAACCACAACCACAACCATCACTAACAACCCAACAAAATTAAAAAATTAACTCCAACATACATCTTCAAATGGAAGTTAAAACCCATAGTGATGCTAGCTCCATCATTGTAAATTGATAAAGAAAAAATGAATTTCAGTCATCAACAAAAGTTTCAATTGACAATACAGAAGTTTTCATTTTTGAATATCATTCAATTCTCTTATACAGAAGAACATAATTAGAATACTATGAGAAGAGAATTGAGAAATGTCATGACCTCAAAAAATAATAGAACACGAACAGATTTTAAGGACATGTTTGAGCCACATTATTTTTTTCATTCTCATTTTTAACCATACATTCTTCAATAAAATAATATTTTCTATCACATCAATAATTTTTCCTTATTTTTCAACCACACATTTCTCATCATATCACTATTCAAAATCAATTCTTCCCCCAAAAATTCCTCCCAAACAAGCTCTAACTTGGAGCTGTTTGGGAGGGATTAAAATCAGATTAAAATTGAAAATATAGCTGTTATTATTTAATTTTATTAGACGAGTGTGACCCAATAACGGCTATATTTTCAATTTTAATTGGATTAAAATTATTCCCAAACAAGCTCTTGATCTCCAAAATTTGATTAAATACATCGAAATTCTAAAATTAATAAGATTTGAAATAAAGTCAGTCTGAAAGCTACTAGAATAAGCAACTCAAGTTGTTTCACCCTCCACCAACCTGAACTTATCATGTCACCCTTATTGATTTATTACATTCCCCTATACTGCCTCTACACTAATTTCAACCTGAAGCATGTGTATGCATGCCCCCAAAATTAACTTGATCTCCAAAAAATAAAAATAAAACACCAGAAAACCTAAGCTGCCACCTTGATTCAAGATGAGCCTACGACAGCAATCAGAACACCGATCTGATTAACCTAGAACCAGGCCCGTAAGCGGCACCCCAATTTGAACACCACTATGCGCAGCCTGGCGTCGGAACTCTGATGACGAAGGTGGGGGCGGGGGGGAGAGGGAGACTACAATCTCGAGTTTCGTTAATACTTTATTTATGCTCAATAAACTTAATACTTAATTTTAGAATTGTCATATTTAAATACCTGTTGTGATGTAATTTCTACATATAATAACTACTTCCTGGGTAGGCTTAAAGATCTTTTGAATGGGTGGTATTCGAAGGAGAGTCGGGGAAAGTCATGGAACTGTTCATGGGAAGCATTTGTACTGGAGAGCATTTTTCGATTTCTTGGGAAACGTTTGTAACATAGCATCCTTATAATTTCAAGATCAAAGTCAAAATTTAATTTTAATCATAGGACCAATAATTATTATCATTTATTTCTGTAACATTATTCCTTTTAGCAACTTATAGTGAAACCCAAATAAGCATTTTCCTCAGCTTGTCCTTTCCTTAATTAATTACATTATGATTTGGGGAAAGCTCATGCTACATGCCTCCTATGAAGGCTTTGTTACCTTGTAGAATGGTGGCTGGCCTTTTGCATTCACGACCATTCTTTAGTCCTTGTTTAGTGCTCATTGTTTTATAACTCCTTTTGTTAAAAGATTATTTTCAATCACCAGAGCTGTTCTCCTCATCACAGTGGGAAGTCTTGTAATGTCCACTCGAAAAGAATCTAACATTGGGTTCTCACATTTGGAGAGAACTCAACATTGGATTCTCCTGCCACATCAGCATGTGGACAGAACATTTCCATTTCAATCACATTCATACAATATAATATTCTGCACTTAAATCTAAAAATTTTCACTATTTTTTAACCACACATTTTTCTAAAAATATTATTCAAAACTTTTTTTTTTTTTAAATAATGGGCACCCAAGCATTTATTTCTTAGTAGGGTGATTGTAAATTTATATTAACAAACACAATTTCGACCTGTGCATTATTGCAGCTACAGTGGAAAAGGATCAGACACCAGAAACTAGACTTGTAGGGAAGGGTGTGAAATGGACCGAAATCCCATCATCAGTAAACGTTCAACAAATAAAATAGGTGACGTCAAAATAATGAAGCTCCATCAAACCGTCACATCATACACCGCGACCACCAACCACCACCGCCCCGCCACCCCCACCCACTCACCCTTGAGTTCAAGCCTTCCCAAAATGATCCTCCTAGCTAAATCATTTTGTACAGTCAATAGTTTTGATTTATGGTTAAATCACTTTGCCAGAAGAATAATGTCATAAGCAGTGCCAAAATCATAGGTGACGAGAGGTAATTTGATAAAAAGATGATGGTGATTTAAAAAATTAAATGATAGATTTTATATGATATTATGTCAATTATTCTAACACTAAAGTATAGAATTCGTAAAGGAAATTTTAGGAAGTCATTGTACATTTTATACAATGATCCATTTTTGCAAATATTGGAAGAATGCCCAATTTCGTGGAAGCTGGTTTGTTGGTTTACTATTAAATTATCTGGAAGGAAGAACGATTATTGTCCTATGGACAATAAATGTTCCTTAATAATTTATCTTGAAGCTTACTTGACCAAAAAATTTTGCAGAATTTTGACACTGAACATTGTGTATATGTGATCATTTGTCGACATTGTTAAAAAATAGCATTTTTGTCCTCCTAAAAAGTGGCTATTTTAGAAGGAAGGAAGGGAGGGGGGGAACCATGTAGTAAGGTCTATTTCCTCCAATGTCAATATAATTATCTCTAATAATAATAATATCTTAAGCTACATAAAAATTTCAGCATTACATGGGAAAAAGTCATCGTTCCTACACCTCCAAGTTCAGCAGCATTACAAATTCAGAATCTTTAGATTCTGTATAGACGTACACACACAGCAGAATATTTATATAGAAGATTTATAATGATCCATAGGCCAAGAATCTTCAGGATGATCTAGCACCATCTGAAAACCCTGTCTGTTGAACTTGAAATCATCGATTGTAGTAGCATTAGCAGCTAATTGGGCTTCAATTCCGCCAAAAAGCAAAGGATTCTGATAGGCAGTGCTTTCAGGAATCTTCTCCCCCCATTGCATATTAGCAGCAGCAGCAGCAAATGCCTCGTCATGCTGTTTGACAAAAAAATTGTTGAGTCCTTTCAAAGTGCATTCTTCATGCGTGAGAAAAGACTTGAACAGGACTGAATCTTGGTCTGTTGCAGCCGCTGAGTTTGGATTTGGAGTGGGTGAAAAAGAAGGGATATTTAAGGGGAAGATATCGCATTGAGAAACAACCGGATTTATCAGAGATTTGAGATAATTTTCTTGGCGACGATGAATCAGAAATGGGTTTTGATTTTGGAGTGTTTGCATTGGATATTGACACTGCGATTCTGACAGTCCTGGTAGTGGTGGTTCAAGCAATGGAGGCAATGAACAAGAACCAGTGGCAGTAGTAATAGGTGAAGAAGAAGAAGAGGCGGTAATGCAGTAATTTTGGTACAGTGCTGGATTTTTCTTCTCCACTATTTTGTGCAAAATCCTGCAAATCACCCATTCCTCCTGCATAACAAACAAAATGTACAGAGAGAGATTCAGAAGAAAGTAACAATCTTTTTTTTTTTTTTTAAATGGATTTTAGGGTCTCAATCATTTTACAAATCTCATGTCCTGATTCTCTGTTACCAGCCGACTTAGTCAGTAGTTTAATTTTCTAGTGATTCACGCCTTAAACTAGATGATCAAGAATCACATATTTCATTGCGTATGCACACGGATGAAGCCTTTAATGTTTCCCAATTTCATCTTAACGTTATCTTTTTCTCCTAGTGAAAAACAAGTCAACCCTAGAAGGACAAAACAGCAGAGTTTCAATAATCTTGTGAGTGAGTGAGTGAGTGAGTGAAGTGAAGTGAAGTGACCTTGCATGTGTGACGGCAGGAGAAGTCTCCGTCAAGGCGGTATTCATGCATGACCCACTTAGTTTTCTCCCCTCTTGGGGCTCTTCCTCTGTAGAAAACAAGGGTTTTCTTCAGCCCAAGAAGTGCACCACTTGATCCACTACTGTACACTTCTCTATCTTTTCCTGTAGCTTTCCAATATCCTGCACCAGTTGCTCGGTTTGTTCTTAATCCAGTTGGGTATTTCCTGTCTCTTAAGCTGAAGAAATACCACTCCCTTTCTCCCATTTTCGCCACATCTGTCCAAACAAAACGTAATGAGTGAATACAGCGAGTAATCTATCTTCTCGCAAACAAGTGTACGGGTCCAAATCTATAAATTTGCAGTTATTTGAGGAATTAATTAAATAAAAGGGCATTTATCATTAATGGCTTCTGCAAGCTAGAAAAATTAATACAATAACCGAAGAGAGAGATGTCTGAACGTTTTAGGTAGAAAGATGCCTACAACTTTATCATTTAAAGCTTCAAGCTACAGTACTATAACAAAAACGTCTTATATGAAATATATCTAAAGATTAATGAGGATGTAGGATCGACAGCATAGTCCACATGATCGATCTCAGAATTTTTAGAGTTCAAATGAATACAGGAATTCCACTGCTCAAAACAAATGAATAATGGGATCAGTGGCCGAAACAAGTGAATTCTATCAAATGAAAAGCCCAAGCCGAAAAATATAGTCTCCAAGAAAATGAGGAATATATGTACCTGGAAGTTCCCAAGGCTCACATCTGTTGAGGTCAACTTCAGCAATGTTCACTCCACAGAAGCTTCCATTGAAAACCTTTGAAGCAAGATAAAATGTTATCAGTTCCTCATCAGTGGGGTGAAATCTGAAACCTGGTGGCAATCCTTGTTCATTAATGTCATCTCTTTCAAGCTCACACAAAATTTCCTCCATTGCCAACATTTTTTAGAGAGATGCAAGCCTGTTTTCGGGTGTTAGATTAGAAAAGAGGGGCGCTTAGAAAAAGTAGTGAGAGGTGTACTATATAATGGAAAATTCTAGTGGGAAGCACTGAATCCGAAGGAAAATTCAGGATTTGATTTTAGGGTTAGTAAAGGCTATGATTGCAGTGGCTTGTAAAACTTCACCTGAAAAGGGTCCCAAAACTAGTAAAATAATATATATTCAGATAAACTAGAGATTGTGCGGAACTTAATAGGGGGGTCGGGTCGGGTCGTAGTAAATGCGTAGTTGATTGCATAAGAAAGATGCTATGCATACAGAAAACACACATACAGAAATGCAACAAAACACACATACACAAGTGGGATCCTTTTTGTTTCTTTTGCAATATTTTACTCACATGGGGTCTCACATGGGTCCAACCCATGTGAGTGTTCCGGCAATTCCATTTCTGTAAGAATGGAAAATTCCATTGCAGAATGATATTATACATGAGGAAGGCTTTTATCCAAACCTATAATTCTTGGTGAAATAATTCCACAATTATAAAAAAATATAAATAATTTCATGCACGTTTAAAAGGTTAAATTATTTGACAAAATAATATATTTATTTTAATTTCACATTAAACACACGCTTCTTGTGGGAGTTATATTAATCTTTTTCACAAATTAGATGTCACATTAGTCATAAAAAGAATCCCATCATATCTATGTATACATATCATGAGATGGATAAAATGTTTATGCTACAGTATCCAATACCTGTTAACCAAAAGAACGCGTATGCGAGTGAGGCTCGTCGAGTGAAGGAGTGCAGAATCCTAACACTTAGTTATCAGATACCCTTTAGGTTCGACAAGCAACGTGTTATTGCACGAAAAACAAAAAAAGCCATAAAAGTCTAAATCAAATCCGGCCATACAAAAGGCATACATCATTTATCACATATAGACTTATACTTCTACAAGATATTGCCCTTCGAACTAAAGAATGATTGAACAACTTACTAGCAGCTGGTTAATCGGATGTTCACATACCAAATTGAAAAAACTATGCAATTATAAGAGGATATATGCTAGTAAAAAGCCTGAGCCAAGTGAACATAATGCAATGGAAGTTGTTTGTAGATAGCTCGTCCAGAGAATTTGGATTAGGAGAAGTGATTAGTCTGATAAGCCATGAGGGGCATCATGAAAACTATTCACTAAGGTCCTACTTCCAAGCTTTAAACAATGTAGCGAAATAGAAGGTACTAATAGCGGGCTAAAATTGGTGAGCAAGATGCAAGTGAAGGAAATACAAGTTAACAACGACTACCCAACTCGTTGTGGATAAGATGAATGGCGACTTCGTCGCTAAGGACAAGAATATGGCTTCTTATTTGAAGTATGTTATGGACTGATGACAAAACTTCGAAAAATGTAAGATCCTTCAAGTCCCTCGTGTGAAGAACAACATCATGAACTAGTGCCTAAAAAAATGAGCAAGGATCGTCCACAGTCTGTGTCATCTATACCTCGGCTCGTGATTGTTTCTAATGATGATCACAAGAGCCAATTGTAAGCCACCGGAGATTCTAGACATCTATAAGACCTCCAAGCCTTAGGATATGACTATCATTCAAGTTGGATCCGGAGCGAGCTGAAAACCCTAGCTCATAATTTAAAAGACCTCATCCTCAAAGAACCATCCAAGCCTCTAAACTTTTCGTGTAATTTCATAAGAGAAAACCTTGAAATCAGAAACATCAAATACTACGTGTAAACTTTGAAATACAACAAATCGTGTAAAAATATTTTTTCTCGCATTTCTAGAAACAAACTAACTAATTAAACTTTCATTTTTAGCAAATCTTGTTCAATAGATATCAAAATTAGATCATTCAATCGTTCTTATAACATGGTTAATTGTAAATAAGATTTAATAACTTCAATTGTGAAAAATTTCTTTCAACATATGCAACAATAACATTAATTGTCAGTAATACCCTATAAGCAATAAATGTATTCGAAAAGCAATCCAATCTTTTCAAATAAGTTAATATATTAAAAACTGTCTTTGTTTCATTTGATATTTCAAATAAGTTAATATATCAAAAAATGTCTTTGTTTCTTTTGGTAAAAGATTTCACAAATTTTTTTTTAACTCTCGAAGAAAAAATTTGTCATCAAGATCGCAAAAAATTACATATCTTAAAACAATATCAAGATTATCACAACATGCTTTCAAATCAGTATCATTCAATGCGTTTAACTTGTAAAAAAAAATGAATTGATCGAACATTCGTTCAAGTGATCCAATTACTTGATCTACTATATAAAGGAAATAATTGATTATGAAAGAATTTTCAAATGATTGTGCGTCCTTTATAGTGACATTTTCATCAAAATGTTTCTTCTTAAGAATTATAATTTCTCATATTTTCTATTTTCATTGACATTATTTAAAGTA